TGCCCCGAAAAGATCTCCCTTCCACTCACAACAAGAAGTAAACGAACTAACTACGATACATTTTAACTGAAGCAAATGCCTGGTCCATAGGGTAGCAAAGTGATCCTTTTTTTCGAATGCAACTCAATTTTTAAACGACCATCGCGGTAAAGGAATCAAAAGTATAAGCTTTTCAAAGCAAGGTCAATGCATACAAATAAAACTGATTGTCAATTACTCGTGAAAAATTACTTCGTGACCGGTTTGGTAGAACCTCATTTATTTTCTTTAAACACGAAGGCCCGCGATAAAAGGAGCCTTAGGTCCCACTGGACATTTGTCAATCAACCGCCGTGTGATGTAGAACTCTCAGAGTCAAGTCAGCTTGAGCTACAGGTACTCCAAAGTAGTCAACAGCGGGAGCATTCCTCAAAATTATTTTATGTCTTCATCACAGTATAAGAATTTTTGAGATTTTTGTATTTTTTCTCCAATGGAAACTGTCTTTATTTGTGGCGGTAAATTTGAGATCGAAGTAGGTGGTTCGCACGTTACCTCATGCCACCATGCTGGTGGAAGTAAACAATAGATATCTCATCAGCTCCTTTTGTTCGTCTACCAGCATTTAAATTTGACCCGGCACACGTCAACGGTGAGTGACAAATGAGCCTAGGTCTTCCCAGGGAAGACTTCCTTATATAGCGCGCCTTCGTGTTTAAACTTTAATTTGAAAATAACTAGTTTTCATTTTTAATTCGTGCTTTCTGTACAAATATGTGAAAAAAATGACAGCTGTTAAGATTTGGTAAAATACCAAACTCTCTGATTTTGTTTCATTGGCATTTCTGATTCCAACTTTTTTCTGGAATTAACGTGATTCAACGGGCAATGCTTTAAAATCGAAATGGGTAAATAAGAATGTGTTTTTCTTGTTCTTGTGAAACTATTATCTTTCATAAAAACGAATCGTGGCCAAAAGCCCTTTTTGTTGTTTATTGGTGAAAATCAGTTGGTTCGAATATTCACGTTGATTTTAGTCTCAACCGTAAACTATTGGTCAACAATTTGGGACACAATTCACTATCTTAATTTCTATAGAATAAACTCTTCTTTGAAATATAAAAAAAAATCTGCATCTATTCGTCGTGAAAACGAAAGTCAATTTGAACTGGTTTATATAGCGGTAAATTTCGTCTTTATCAGTTTCTCAAAGGAGCTTGTGACCAGGCATTAGAGCTTTGAAACATATATTAATTACTAACAGAAACAACCACAGTTGATGGCACGCAATAAAAGATACTTATAAAGATGGCACTCTGCTAAATTTGTATGAAAAACAAATACTTCCCTTTTTTGAATAAAATTCCTAAATTTCCAGTTTAATTAAGTTCAAGTCGAAAATGAATTGCAATTGAATCGATATGTTTTTGGCCAATTTTTTCTCTTGATATCATTTAGTGGTCAATCTTTCGGCACGATCGTCCGGGTCCGAGCCGGGTCCGAGAAGTCCTGAACAGGTTTGTGAATGGCTCGAGCAGCAATCGCGAGTGAACAATTGCTTATATGTCTAACGTTAAAACTTTGGTTTGTAAAAGTGATTGATCAGTTTTGCAGTAAAGTGGCTGTCAGACTCAAATGGCGGTGTCCGTCTGATGATGACCGTGTTGGTTTTTTCACGTCGTATGGTGCTAATAGTAGTTTATCTGTTTTAGGAGTCTTCTCTGAGTTTGAACGCTTGATTTGAAGATAGTGTAAGTTGATAGTGTCGAGCAATGCGATTTTTGACAAAAGAAAATTTGTAAAATCAATACAACTTTCCAAAAGATTTAAATTTTAATTTCCACTTGGGCTTTTTCGGGTAGAAGTAATTTGTTGCAGTGCCACCTTAATATCACCTTTATGTGACATGAACTGTGATACTAACTGTTAAATAAAATGAGCGCTCTGAGCTTCCTAATTTATCAGCTACGTGTCAGCATTCAGTAGTCAAGATTATATCAGTTTCCAGTTGTTTCTGCTTTTAATCGGATGCTACAAGATTATCTGAGATGAATCAGGCCAAATTATAGCTGGTAGTTCAAATAAATCAAATGATCGCTCATGGTCTGAATAACGATCAGTAACGCAGCTATTTCAAAAATGGTGGCTAATTGAGGAATACTCACTCACCATATAATAAAGTTTTTCCATTCCAAGACAATTGGTGAAAGAACAAAGACTTCGCACAATAATAAGAAATATAAAGGGCCACTATTTTTGCTAATATTACTGAATAATTTCAAAGTTTGCAGTATCCATTAAAAGTTCAGTGATTCCAGTTTCTTGTCTTGACCAGAATCTTTGTTCTTCAATCCTTCTGACAACATTTCTCTTCCTGATGATAGAAAATACGAATGTGATCAGGAAATGTTTACTTTGCACGAGGACGAAAACTAAAAATTGAAATTCTGTGTAACTGTTTTGCTCTTGGACACAATCATAAAAAAAGTGAAAGTATCGAATATTTTAAAAATTTTATCGAGACAATGAAGCAAAGACCACTGAATAGTCCATTTTACAGTTGTGTGCTTGGTTGCCAAGCCTTTGAATGGGAGTGAGGCTAGAGATGACCTTGTTATGATACAAACCTTGCTGCCTTTCAAATGTAAATCACTTCGTTATCATGCTAAGTAGATACAGGTCTCTATCACAACAAGGTCATCTTTAGCCTCACTCTGAATCAAAGGCTTGGCAACTAAGTACACAACTGTCAAATGGCCTATTGAAGAGTCATCAGACCTCCACACGTCTGCATTCATAACAAACTGATGTCCCCAATAGATTTTGCAAGCGAAACATTTTGTTTGAGTGCTTCACCTAAAATATTCGATCTACAATTATACGCTTTGCTTTTCTCGAAGCAACACCCTAACTCAGTCTAATTTCGAGTTGACGAGCCGCTCAGACCAAGTAACCGATTCGTTCTACGTCGCTGAACTGAAATAATACGACTCGTTAGGATCTCTGAAGGAGCTTAAGGCGATATCATTCAAAGGCAATGCTCACCTGCTGTTATAGTGACACAAAGAATGCTTTCTTTGCTCTTTCTTGCAGGTCCAGTGTCTTCTTCCTTCCAAAACACAACGTTATGTTCAGCACAACAGACAGAACGTCTTCACCCTTGGACAGACAAAGTGGTTTACTGAAAAACTGCAACTTCTGATGAATATATGGATTAACGACTGCGGCCAATAATCGGCTGCTACGTCACAGATTTGGCGCGGAGTTCTCTTTGCACGCTCAGCCAGCTAATCAAGAATCAAGCTAAAATGAAAGACTTCGTGAGCGACGGATTGGCACGTGAGACGAGGAAAAAAATTCATAACAACTGAGTTTTGGGAAACTGCTATGTGGCCAGGAAATTACTCTCACATTCGAAGAGAGCTAATTTGAAAGACTGATATTATCAAAAGTAGTAGATCTCAAAAATAAATAAGAAAATATTCAAGGCCTCATTTTGATAGTTCGTGAATAGATGAACAAATGTTCATCTATTCACGAACCTTCATAATTCTTAATTCTTAATTCCCTTCATAATTCTTCCTATTATGAAGGGAACGTACGCGCTTACCCTGTGTGTAGAGGTCCCTTCGATCAAAGTTAACTCTCCTTCGATTTCCTAGAGAAGTCGGGAAGAGGAAATTCTTCCTGTTCCCGACTTCTCTAGGAAGATCGAAGGGACCTCTGTCGCTCGCAGGTTAGTACGCACTGTAATTTACCAGTGGAAGAAAAAAAGATACGAAGAAATCATAATTAACTCGTGGTGGAAAAAAACAAGATGAAAAGTACACAAAAATGAATTAAGAGCGCTGTCACTCGATCACGCAAGGAGAAAGGAACATGGGCATTGAGTTACTCCTTAATGACTAAGCGAATAGCAGCACGGCGCATCAAACTACATGTACAGTAGTCCTAAGAGTTAAGACTGATAGTGGGTAAAAAAGAAGGGAAAAAATGGGAAATAGATTTGAAAGGTTGTGGATGAAGATGTGCGTTCCTCTTGTCTCGAGCGTGGGACAAAAACAAAAAGATATTACTCCCCATGAGGAATCGAACCTCAAATCTTCGGATTTAGCGCTCCGATGCTCTACCACTAAGTCACAGACACTCCACGATGTGCTACGCCGTTACGAGGTCCTTATGCAGCACTCGTCACCTGCATGCAGCTACGATGAGAAAAGTCGAAAGTGTCCCATGTGAAAACAGAGTAAGACAAAGACAAGACGAATACAAATATTTCTATCACTTTGCCGAGCTCAAAATTTACCATCTCTCTTATTTGAAAGGTTGTTCGATGTTCTTAGTCAACCCTAGAAAGAGCGATGTGCCGCCCTAACCCATGGCCAAGTTAAGAAAAGTTCATTCACCCAGTTGCCTTGGCTAAGACAGTGAATTGTGAAAAATCAGCCAATGGAACATGCGCAATTATTTTGTGATTTTTTGAGGTGAGCAGAGGAAAGCGCGAGTCGAGCGTGAAGAAAGTGTGCGACGAGCGTGAAGAAAGTGCGAGACGAGCGAGAAGAAAAGCGCGAGACGAGCGAGAAGAAAAGCGCGAGACGAGCACAAAGAAGGCACGGGGGGGGGCGATCAACACCAAAGCAAGTGGAGGAGCGCGGGAAAAAAAACCTCTACTTGCGGCGGTCTCAACCCGGGCGCTTTTATTCGCTCGCTTTAAAAACTACAAAACGAGAATGGCATCTGTTCCACAGGATAGTTCTGCATCGACTGCACGGAGCCACATCCAGGTGTTTATCAAGACATTAAAGAAGCCTAGACTGTGCTCTGTCCGGTTGCGAAGCATGCATGAAGCGGCTCAAGCTCGAAATAAGAGTACGGGGAAACACGAGACCTGGTGGAGTGTTTCTCCCTCCTTCTTGAGTGCTTTAGCCGCTTCCTAAGTGCTTTACAAAAGAAAGGAGCACATTCGAGGCTTTTATATATATGTCTACCACATATGTTTTACAATAAATAATACACACGAATTTCTACTTTTAAAACAAACTTTATTTTCCACTTTGGATGATGTTGGAGAACACTCGAAAAATGACTGAATCAATTCATTTGTCTCCGGCTCGTGATTTATGTGGTTACTACGACCGGAAACCGATAGAAAGTACGGTCTATCGCTAAAATCTATGTGTCTGTCCTTAATACGATAACCTGTAATAACCAATCAAAATGCGTGTGTAATAGGCCATTTTACAGTTGTACTTCGTTGCCAAGCCCTTGATTTGGAGTGAAGCTAAAGATGACCTTGTTGTGATAGACCAGTATCTAGTTAGCATGATAACATTTGAAAAGCAGCTACGTCTGTATCATAACAAGGTCACTCTTAGCCTCACCCCCTTTCAAAGGTTTGGCAACCAAACCAACAACAGTAAGAGAGCCAGATGTTTCCATAAGGTCGCTTTAGTTTTAGCAATCTGCCATAACAGATGAATTCATATATTACTTTAAAGATTATTTTTTCATTATTACATTTGATTATACATTGTTTTCAATAAGCACGGGGTGCTAAATGCATCGACACCCAAAAATTGTTTATTTTTATACACGGTCACTTCTTTAATCTTTAATCTTTAATAAGTATCCTCCTAAGACAGCAAAAGGAACTATACTAGGAGTTTCAAAAAGTTTTAAAAATACTTTCCGCTCACGAAATTTTGTAATGTGAATCAGTGATGTGCCATTTTGAAGATAAAAAAAGACTACCTACAGTAACTTTCTTCTGAATAACTGTTTAACTCCCATGATTGACCAAGACAAAATTTCTCCTTAAAATATCAATACATGCATGCTCTGCTTCGTATTCCCTCGGCTTTAAAGACCAGTCAATATTTATCGCCTGAGTGCATCGGAGAACTTCGGGGGAAAGCAGTCGTCACCAACAGAGTATAAAAAGGGCTCTCTAGAAAATTGACTGTCAGTTGACTACCAATAAGGGGGCGGGGGGGAAACACACAGCCAAAAACCCTCCCCCACACCACCCTCCAGGCGATCAATAATGACCAGTCCCTTCAGACCAAATATTTCCTGATTGGTTAAAACCCGTCATGACTAATGAAAACTAAGCAATACTCTCTTTTTTTTATTTTTAACTTCGTACTAGCTTTTTCCATAACTTATCACCTTCTAATGGTTTTATAATATTCGTTTTGAGATTTTTCTTCTTCCCGAGCAAATTGGCTAATTTCTTAGCCAAGAGTTTGACAATTACCATTTACCACTTTAATGTAAAGTGGCTACATTGGCTAGGAGGCCTCTTTCGACCAGATCTGGTCACAATCTGCACAGCAAATGTCACAGAGGAACATGTTTTCGACACAGCTATCTGACCAATCCGATACGCCTCCACAAATGCTCGACCCAAAAAAACACTGGATCCCTCTGCCACCCTAAATATGTTGTAGTGCGCAGGTTCGTCACACTGGCCATCGCTGATTGGACAATGCCAAATGAGAGTAAGGCTCAAGAGGTACCCGTCGTCCGTGGAAATCCATTCGATGTCCTGGTATCTTAGATTCTTTGCTAACGCAATCGGTTGTATGATAACTCGTGGATCAATAATCTGGAGCAAAGTAGAACAGCAGAAGAAAAGGTCAAAGCCAGATTCTTCATATTCGTCCGCAGAAAAATTTACTCATGCTGGGTTTGAAGGCTTTCAACTTTAGAGCCATTTTCAGTTGATTGTCGAAAGTCATCCGAGATTGCATTAGTTTTGCTTTATTTCGCTCTGTGATTGGTCCAAAAACTCGCGATACTCTCTCAACCAATCACATGCAAAACACAAATCAACCTCGACTTGGTCATGCACGTTTTCCCGCGCTTTGGGAAGTTTGCTCATTGGTTCTTTACGGGAATTTTGCTTTCTTCTGATTGGCCCTTCTGATCTGGTTTTACGACACTCAATCGAAAGGCGCTCGATTCGAAATCAGTTCGCATTACTTATAACCTATAATTATACTTGGTGTCATACCCAGGGCTCGACAACAATTTTAGTTGTTGGTTGGCTTGTGGAAATCGAAAACCACTAGCCAAAACTGAATTTCTACTAGTCTGTGGCTAGTTGGCCACCGTTAGTGTCCAGCCCTGATACCCATAACAAAACGAGAAATTAGATGCTGACAATCTTAATGGAGCTTTATCAAGGCTATAAAAATTAACATCTTTAACTTACAAAACTTATCAACCTCTTCGTTAAATGTGATGATATCAGCGATTCGTTCTGAGCCTTGAATTTAAAATTCATCTAAAATCGTCCATTTTTTAACATTTTTGAAAACGAAACCTAAAGAATATTTCATAACAATCTTAAAAATAGCCATGGGAAGTTTTTATGCTACGCACTGACAGTGAACTAGCATTTGTAGTAACCAATATCATTTGATCTTTGGAGAATATTTACAAAATCCTCTTAAACAGAGAATGAGAGCAAAAAACGTTATAACATGTTACTTTAATAAAAAATAAGATAAATAGACGGTTAAAACGACAAAAACATAACATACGCGTAGACCAAACGCCTCAAAATTCCCTCCAAGACAAATTTTTGCGCTCTCCCTTTGTTTAAAACTTTTTAAAAAGATAACCGGCAATAAAAAAAAAAGGAAGTCAATCACCTTAATTTCTCCAACGTGAAGTTTGAATGCTCCTGTAGTTTGCGCACCTAAAATAAATGATAGTACGAATGTTCAGATTGCTGTCTGGGAAAATTACGGTACTAGATCTCTTTTCTTCTCTATGTTGTTATAAGAACTGCGGGTTAAGGAATGAGTATCATAGCGATCTTCGCAGTAATAATAATAATACTAATAATATCAATTTCTATAGCGCATTTCCATGTCGTGTTCTAAAGCGCTTTACAACACTGTGCGGGGGGACTTTTCCAGACTGCCAGCGGCAGTTTACAATTAATGAAGAAGAAATTTTTAAAGATGCCCCCTCCCCCCAATTCCCAGTAAACAGGCCAGACCACATCACAGTAATCTCGTGATGTAGGTTCTTTAACGTCCCCTGCCTAACCAAATTAACTAATTGACAGCTGCAGGAGACGGGACCTCCGGCTTTACGTCCTATCCGAGAAGACGAAGCAATGTGAGTGAAGTGTCTTGCTTAAGGACACAACATCAAGCCCCAGCCAGGACTTGAACCCGAGCCGCCTGACCCAGAGTCCAGCGCACTGACCACTGAATTTTTTTAAGGCCTGTGCGGGATTTGAACTCTTGACATCTTATCGCAGAGGTCATGGATTCAAATCCCGTACAGGCCTGATTTTTTTTTTTTTATTTTTTTCAGGCCTTTTTTTTCACTACTGCTCAAGCAGTGTTCATTACTGCGAAGATCGCTTTGATATTCATTTGTTATCTTTGTTGTTATTGTTTCTTAACATGAAAAAGCAGGAGTCACGCACTATGGAATAACCTCGCATTCTTTGATAGAGCTTCCTTTTTGCAAAGTCAGTACACTCTTCTGATGAAGAGGCGTATCAACGCAACATTTTAACTCTTTACAGCCTGACATCTGTATGTATATTCTCCATACTGTTCTCTATACATTTCCTTAGGTGCTGACAAGGAGAATTTGTTCAACAATCAAGAGCTTCTTTAGTCGGTGATCATTTCCTTTATTCTCCTGACCTTAATGTGTGATTCAGGGGTGATTCTGTTAGGAGATATTAGATGCTAGTCACTGTAAGGGGCCAAAGGGTTCAACTCTCATGGACGATCTAGAGATCACTATCAAATTTTTCCTCACTGTGAATATGCGCTCATTAGGGACTTTAAGCAAACCACGACGGCTACGGCAACGAGAACGTGGAAAAACAATAGATCTAATTGGCAGAACAATAGCCAAGCACGTGCGTTCTAAAACTTTGTACATTTCTTAGCCGTCCTTTGCAAAACAACAACGTGAAATCACCAAAATTTGCGTCGTATGCGAAGCGAAACCGCGGCGGCAAATTATTTTAATTTACATTTGGAACTCAACGCTACTTTTATGCGATATGTTGAGTTTGAGGTCTGGCGCCCTACGAGACGGTAAACACATGCAGCCATTTTCGAAATTCTAACTAAAAGTAGAAACTCAGTTTTTACACGACGTCTTCCGTGGCGTTGCCGTCCTGACTGCTTAAAGTCCCTATTATTACCAGTAAAGGCGAAGGAACCGATCAGCATAGAAAAATGGCCGTGAACTCTTACAATTTCCTACTGTTGCTATTAAAAGATAATGTTTGCAAGATACTGAGGAGAATCTTTACGTTGAATTTGGAACTTAAAAGATGAAGGGAGTGGGTATCATTAACGCTATTTTGAGTACGCATAAGAACTACAGCTTACAACAAGCGCAGCTCAGATGATAAAATTCCGCAGTCTTACCAGGAGATAAAGCACAAATCACTCGAACTTCTTGAACTTTGAGACCCACTAACTCTTTTTCAGCAATCAGGTAATACCTATAGGGACATAAGTTGTATAAAAAAAACAAAAAACATAACTAACATGGCGAATATTAATGAACAGTCGACTGGGAGAGGCTAGGAAACGTTAATGACCTCAAACTACAATGTTCAATAAAACTTGGATAGGAACAAAACCACGACAACTGATCTTCTGCTTTTCCTGACAACAACAGTTGTTCCCAAGTGAACTCCAAGAACAAACAACGCGACTCGAGTTCCAAACAGAAAACAACTCAAAAAATCCAGTACAAGACGTTTATCACAATAAAACCACGTGACAGTAAATAGTTTGTGAATAAATTGAAATCTAATTTCAAAAAAGTGGCAGAAAGCGGTGAGTCAGTCAAAAAGCAGCAATCCCAGATATGGAACTTTTCGTAACCGTTAGTAATTAAGACTTCAATGAAACTGGACCCTGGTTTCCATCAACAAACCCCTCACCACTTCCAGTACAAACCTTGTGCACCAATCAGAAACGCAGTCAGCTCTGCTTTCATTTAATCCGTGAGCCTGCTGCACTGAGTCATGGAAAGAACCGGTCAGAGGTTGAAACAATCTATAATGCTCCTGACCAATAGGAGACATGAACACTGATGACGTTAACAGCCGGGACTTCGGTACACCATATCGACGAATCAGCTTGTCATTTTGTTCAGTTTCCTCTGAGTTACCAGGATCTGAAAGAAAAAATAGCAAGATGAGCAAACTTTCTCACTACACTATCACACTAACCCCTCCTTGCAGACTTACGTCTGGATTCTTAAGGTGAGCACAGGAACTAGGATAAGGCTAATACAGTAATCTCAACAGGGTCAGACGCGGGAAAACGTGTGCGACCAACTCGCGATAGGTTTTTCATTTTGCACCTGATTGGTTGCCACAGTGACGCGAGTTTTCTAATGACCAATCTCAGAATACTGGATTGTGATCGAAACTTAATTGAATATCATTATTAAGTGAAGATGAATATTTCTCGCAACACCTTGATCATCTGGTGAGGTAGGACAGAGAACAATGTAAGTTGGCATTTTGTCTAGATGAAGCTGGAGCGCCACAACCAACGGAACACTTGGACACAACTTGAAAGAGAATGACACCAGAAAAGGTCCTGTTATGGGCAAATCCGTTTTAAACAGCCTAACAAACAAAGAGAGAAAGAAATAGCAAGTTGGATGGACCTTGAAAAGAAACCATAACCGACCTGACGACTAAACTTCTGACTAAAATTTATTTTACTGAACACACCACCCTTTCCACTCAAATGTGACTGAGTGTGCAGATGGTTGGTCGATGGAAGAGCTCCCTAAGCAAACAATCTCTGCCAGTGGAGCTCAAATGAAAACCTAAAAAAAATGCTTCGGAGAAGGGGATAGCTTACAGAAAGAGAAATGAAATCTCAGCGGCTGATCTGCAATTCAATCATCGCAGTATATCTCCTAGTATTTTTGTGTTTAAACAAGGTGAATCAAGGTTCTGATAAAGCTAATCCCTCTTTCTTCTTCTCTTGTACCTAAGACAGTACAATAGGTGTCTGAATGTCCCAATCATGGAGCCACATGACTGAATAGCCAGCTGGGCTGCTGACAATGTTTGACTCTTGTTTGTTTAACAATTAAGAGCTTCTTCAATTGGTGACCATTTCCTTTATCCTCATGTCTTTAAAGTTTGATTTAGGTGTGATATTGTGAGGAGAAATAAAATGCCAGTCACTATTAAAGTTTAGAGAGTTTAGGCCATTTAATATCTGTCTTGCCGCCGTCTAGGTATAATTTAAGGA